ATTCACAATGAACCAAAGGGTGATGGACAGGGAGCAGTGTACATACAAGAATGACCTCATTCTTGAGAATTCCGTGAATTGTCTCGGCACGTATAGGTGCGAGGTCAAATCATTGTGTCATAACAACGTTACCATAGATACCACGGTCGGGTCCGTGACTGTGCAAGCGGCCAGTAATGTACGAGTTGCCGTGACGACCATGGGATCGCAGGAAGTTGGTGAATCTTTCTCTCTAAACTGTACTGTTAATAAGATAAATAATGTCTCACTTGGGATAAGATGGATGAAGGACAATGTGACTATAGTCGCTGATAGTAGTAAAGGAGTGACGTTTGGTGCTATTGAAGAGGACGCTAGTTCTGTTAGTAAGGCGCTTACCCTGGGTCCTATCAGACTATCCCACACTGGCCAGTACTCCTGTGATGCTATCAATGGTAGTGATGTGGATGGTAGAGCTACCATTAGGGTTGATATTGATGGTACGTTGATTGATACATAATGATTTATTAAGGCTCGGTTTTTTATTTTATTTATTTTTTTGAATTGTTTATACATGTAGTTGTTATGTTATTGTTTGGGTTGATAATCATTGAATAATTATTATTTGGAATTATTTATAAATTTCTGTTTATTTTCTATGTTTATTTTATTGGAAGGGTCTACCCTGTAGCGAGATATTTTTGTTGGTTTATATTATTTATTTGTGTGTGATTATTTTTAAACCATTTTTATTGTATCTTTTTCCATGAATGTACATGTACATGTACATGTACAATTGTTTCTATTTTAGTTTAATCTTTTTTCTGTATTTTATTTATCTTTTTATGTACATGTACATGTACTTGTACAATTGCTAGATTGTACTCCTAAAAATGTACATTTATTTATTCTTTTTTCCTAAATCCCTCTCTCCCTTCCTCCCTCCCTCCCTCCCTCTCTCCCTCAGCTCCCTACCTGTCCCTCTCCCTAGACCCCAGTCCTGATCTATCCCTCACACTGGGAGAAGAGTACACCCTAATGTGTGCTGCACTATTACCAGACACACTTAGTCCAACTGTTGCTTCCATAACCTGGTACAAGGACACTGTTCCTTTCACTAGTAATGGTATCACTACTAATCTAGCTGGAGGTACTTCTAATCTTAATCTTGGTATGGTTCTCTCTGAAGAGGCTGGTAATTATACTTGTGTGGCTAACGTTTCGTCTCCTTATATTGATACTGGGTATAATCTCATTGTGTCTAATACCACACTAATCACTGTGTCAAGTAAGTATGGATAACGATAACATTGTACATGTACATATGTAGGGGAAATAAGAAAGAAGGAAATTTTGGAGAGAGAGAGAGAGAGAAAGAAAGAGAGAGAGAAGCAAAGCTTTTTAGTAGCTGCAAAAGAATTAAAGGTGTCAGTATTAATAAGTATGTACATGTATATACATGTATGATGTGACTATGCCTGTACAATGATTGAGATATGGAGACATAATCTTGAGCCTGTGTATATGTGTGTGTGTAAACACTCCAGAAAGAATGAAATTGACTAAGGAAGCTTTATCATTATCAACCCAATCACAGACTACCACTATACTCACTAATAATGCATACACTACTGATAGTAGAATGAAGCACCATGGTGCGTGGACTTGCCTACTGAGATTCACCTGAGGGATAATGTGTTACTTGTACTGCCCCCATCATGATATTATAGATATAAGCAACTTAATATTTGAAAAAAGGATAATAGATTTTGACAAAGTGCAAAGTGCAACAACGCAATTACTGCACTGATCCATAAAATAAATTTTAGGTGTGGTCAGCAGTGCAGTGCAGATAAACATGGCACGTGGGTAGGAGAAAGAAGAAAAGCTGAAATTTATTTTAGCATCTGAAGCTCTATTAGTAACATGGTAGCGTTACTAAGTAGGATTCACCCCAAAACAATATGGCTGCCACGACTTTTGCAGCTTTGCTATACCCGGAAAACGAGCTCCTATGCTTACCAGACTTCTTAGAGGACCTTATCTTGACCAGAGGACTCCATTGATACCACTAGCATGGCTCTACACCTTGTCTAAGAGGAAAGTCAAAAATCGGCAAAACGACCATTTTTGTTTAGTCCACTTTTTTCATCATCATCTCCTGTCAATCCAGTTGTCCGTGTGTATCTCAATATTGGCTGGTGCTAGAAGGATAATTCTCGTACCATTCTACTCCAACAGTCTATGCACAGGTCCATGCCCCATCACCTCATTCTCCAAGAAAGGAAGAAGTGGCACTATGACTGTAGGATCAGACAAAACTTACCTCATTCCGCCATGTTGTTAATTAAAGAAGCATGTGCTCCAAAATTTGGGTGTGGTCGCGCATGCTCAGATCTCAGTACTGGGAAAAGCAAGCAATTCTTTTACCTAGCTACGCTTGCATCAACTGCAGTACTTAGTGGAGGTTCCAGGCTTCCAGTTCTAGCTAAGAGAAGTTATTTAATCTTAGATATCATTGTTTTATTAAAATAAATTGTATTAAAAAAATGACAAACAATAATGTTAAACAATGATCATGAGCTTGACAACAGGAACAACACAACACAGGATTCCAAGGAAGATGGATACTCTCACTGCTTCTTGAACAAGGACTCATGTCATGGCTACTACTTAATTTAATTATAATTTTACAAGATGCATAAAGTAATTAGTTTGCCATAGTACAGAGAGAGCAGA